AATTATATACATATATATATAATTATATCTATTAAAGAGGTATACCAACATACATACCAACATTATTTGTTTCTTTCATAGACTGATTTGCAGTTAACATTTTTTTATTACAATAAAATTTGCTCTATAAACTCAACAAATTCAATTAATTTAACTCAAGCAATACAAGATAGCGTTGAGTTGTCATAAATCATAAAGATTCTAGATGGTTATGTCTATCTCATTTTTCGGTCCTAGTGAAACTAACTCGAACTTGAATTATCGTAAACACCCACAATTAGGCCGGTATTCATAGTCCGTTCTTATATTTAAGATTGTCTTAAGCACGGACTTATATTCGCTCTCTTCGTCACACATAGATTGTGTCTGACGAAGAGAGCGAATATAAGTTCGTGCTTAAGACGATCTTGAATATAAGAACGGACTATGAATACCGCCCTTAGTGTGTTCGAAAATAGGTTTGGTTACTGCCAGTAAAAACAGTACTGTTGGCAGCAATGAAAATTACTGGTGCTGCGTTTCGTTTCTGCTGCCAGTAAAGCCAGTAAAAGCTAGATGTAATGAATAAGTTTTCAAGTAGTCAAAAAATTTTTTTATATTAAAAAATAAGTTAATTTTAATATTAAAAAAATTGTGTGTATAGTTACAAAGTTTGGAGAAAAATGGAGAAATCTGTATCTAAAACTCTCTCTATTTCTCAACATGAACAGAACAATAACCAATTGATTGATTTAATATTACTTGATGAAGTAACAAATATACAATATGTTTTAAAAAGTGGTAAAAAAAAGTAATAATAATCGTGCTCATAATGGTACAAGTTACATTTTTAATCCATTTTAATAATAGCAATAAAATTAATATCTTTTCCCTGAAATTATGAATGTGCAAATTTAAACTTAACCTAGTTTTTTATAAAATTTATTTTTTTGTGTCATATAGTTCAGGGATCTGAACTGAAGGCATGCTGCTAATAGCAGTAACACTTTCTCAACCAAGAAAGGCCAAAAAAAAAAAATTATTTTGTGCTATTTGATTTGTATTTACAAAGCTTTAGAATCTAGGATACTTTGTTAGCTTTATTACTTAAAGTTTTTGAAGTATCCTAGGCTTTAAAGCTATGTAAATATATACAAAATTTTTTCTTATGTATATTTATATTACCTTATATTTGTTTAGACATAATGTTTGCTACTACATTATTAAAGAAAGCACAAACGTTACATAATTCTAAAGATACAATACATAGTTCTGCTTCATCAATAAAGAATAGTAAATCCAGTTGTTCAAATGTAACAAGTACTATAGTTCCTGACAATACTGATAATACTGAAAATATAGTTCACAACGATACTTCTTCTAGCACTGAAAACATTTCAGATACGCTAAATACTGGTAAGTTTAAATAATAATAATATGGAGACAAGTAAGAAATATATTAATTACTTTTTCTATTTTAGAAGTAAATATAGAAAAATGGGAACATAAAGCTGTACTTCTTTTAATATCTTTATATAAAGAAAAATCATATATGCTGGGAAAAGGTTCTCATAAAAAAATGTGGATAGACATTTCCAAGTGTATGAAGGAAAAAAAATATAATTTTACAGGCAACCAATGCAATAATAAAATGGATGCATTGAAGAGACGATATCGTCAAATTGTTGACCATAATGCTCAAAGTGGAAACGATAGAAAAGATTGGATATATTTAGATGTAATAAAAATGACACAATAGTATAGCAATAGTAATAGTCTGACAAATATATATATATATGTATATATTTATGTTTTAGGTATTAGATAATATTTTTCGAAAAAACATTGGATAAAACCATTATCTGTAGCAGGATCAAATATTAAAGAACCTGAACATTCTCCATTAACTGACAACAGTGATGAGAATGAAACACCAGTTAGTAAGTAAAGAAATGCAATGTACAATATGTTTAATAATTTACTAGTTTGCAAGCAATCCAACAGAAAAAAAACGCACCATGTACCGTTGGTTTAATTATAGGTTTGTTCTTTATAACTATACTGGGACTGCACTACTAAGGATAGTACAGGCCAAACTATCTATGTTTTGTACTATCCCGTTTTAATACAGTCCCAGTGCAGCAATAAAGAACAAAATAAGAAATTTCACATTTTTTTTTAAATGTATACTTTTCTATAATTAATTTTGTATATAGAGCAAAGAAAAATCTCATTAACTGAAGCAAGAGCAAATTATTTGACACTTTCATTAGAAGAAAAAAGACTAAAAAGAAAAGAAACTGCCAATTATAGAGCTACAAAGTTACAAATATTAAGAGAAATAAAAGAAGCATTAGGGAAACAGAAACAATAGTAATATGCATATATGAAGAGAAAATGTAAAAAGAGAAAAAAAAACATGCATTTGCAAGAATTAAAAAAGTTAAAAGTTCGACAGTATTATCAAAAGCATTAAAATGTTACATATTTTTAAATATTTAAACGTACAAATTTTCTTATATTACTTTAAACATTAATATAATAACATATTCTTTAATACTTGTTTTTTTTATATATATATAAATTATTTTTTATTAATACTGTTATTTTCATATTTGATAAGTTAAAGTATATAGGTTTAAATATATTCGCACTGTAATATAACACAAAATATTAAGATTTTTTGTTTTTTTAGACGTCTATGTTTTTTACATAGAAGAGATTATTTTGTTTTATATAGAAAACTGAAATGAGTTTTCATCTGTGATTTAATTTAAATATTGTGTTCATTTATTTTTTAAGCTAAAGTTAGTCAATTGTTCAACATAATAGGATACAAAAACAAAATCACATATCAATACATATATTTTATTATAAAAGATAAATAAATAATACAATATCTTATCCTTTTGCAGTTACGAATCTTAATTATTAATTCTTCTTTCAAAATCATCATGAGCAATTATTTCGATCAGTCTATTCCTTTTAATATTTCCTTCTTCCTTTAAGATATTAGTGATACCTAATGGTTCCATTTCATGCAATATTTCAGGAACAATAATAGGGATTTCAATACGATCATTTTGTAATAAACATATGTTATGCAATATACAGCAAGTAATTATATAATAAGGAATTAAATTAGTTCTTGTCATAGGTAATTTATCTAATAAATATCGCCATCGTCCTTTCAATAGTCCTATTGATCTTTCTACAGTTATTCGGGCAGATGATAAGCGATGATTAAATTTTTTTTGTTCTCTAGTTAAGTGACCATTATCATGGAATGGCACCATAACATTTTTTTGGATATTGTATGCTGCATCGCCTAATAAATGGCTATTGTCGGGAAAATACTCTGGAGTACAATATTGTTGTACTCCGGAATAAAGAAACACGCGCATATCATGGACACATCCTGGCATTCCAGCAAATACATGAATAAAAGACAAATCACTTTTACATATCACCTAAAAAGAACAATTAATTGTATACTTAATTAATTGTATAATTAATTGTATAACACAATTAACAATTAATTGTATAATTAGTTAATTAAAAAAATTTATTAAAGTGTATAATATATTATATTAACTATCTCTATTTATAAAAATACAACATAGGTAACATTTTTATTCTTACTTGTAACTGTACAGAAAATCTGCCTTTTCTGTTTATATAACTATTGCCATCTTCTTTCGGTCGAGGAATATTTATATGCGTTCCATCAATAATGCCAAGAACTTTAGGAAAGCCATATAGTCTTTGAATGTTTGTCCAAGTATTTTCAGCTTCTTCATAGGTAGGCCATCTAATAAATTGATTTCGAATACTATATATTGCTCTAACTACTCTCTTCACACTAAACCAAGTAGTTGATTTGGACACATCAAATCGTTCACTTATGGAGCGATATGAATCTGGTGTTGCTAAAACATAAATAGTAATTAATAGTTGTTTTGTAACATCAATTTGTTCTCTTCCTTTAAATGGAATATTGTTTAATTTTGGTCCAATCAAATATAATAAAAAATTAAAAGTATTACGTTCCATTCTGTAATAAAAAATATATACTATTATTAACACAAATAATATAAATAATATAAATAATACAAATAATGTATATGCAATATTTCTTATGTACAAATATAGTGTATATATACTAACCTAAAATGTGATTTAAATTCGATATCTGTGTATAGTGCAACAACATGCTCCAAATAATTTTTATTTTGGAACTCTTCTATTATTTCTATTTCTATTATTATTTATTATAATATTTAATAATTCTTCATTGTCATCACTGTCACTCGAAGAAGCACTAGTGGAAGATTCGAAAAGAATATTGTCAAGTAAAATATATTTTTCCATAATTACTGCCTTTTATTATTAGTCTGAATAACTAATTAAACATACAATTTCTTAAAATTAAATATGTAATGAAAATTATCTTTCAGACTTGACGTTATTACATCTGACTTTTACTGGCTTTACTGGCAGCAGAAACAAAACGCAGCACCAGTAATTTTCATTGCTGCCAACAGTACTGTTTTTACTGGCAGTAACCAAACCTATTTTCGAACACACTATTGATATCCAATTAAAAAAATTTATTTTTTAAAAGCATATATCTTTATTAACAAAATCCCTAGAAAGCACATTTTCCTATTGGACGTTGATCTCGTATATTGCATATCCAAAGATGTGTGAATCCGCGATAAGCTTCTGCACCGATCACGTGATTGCTTCAGCACTTTCAAATGCATATGCAGGTAAATTGACCAATAACGCGTTTTGTACTAACAATAAAAACTCAGCAATGGTAGTTTATTTTAGATTCGTGATTGGTTGATTTTTCTCACAAACACATTTAATCGTATAACGCGCCACGGAGTAAACAGTTGTGTTCAAGTCGTATATTTCGGAAATGTTTCTGCCTAAAAGTGAATTTTGTGCATATGATATCCGCGTTTTTCGTTGTGTCAAGTTTTTATCGTAATACGTTAACCATCACTATCAATATCGCGGTTCTAGTGTCAGTGATATATTGTGCAGCCGCAGTCGGCCAATATCATACATATTTCACGGCTTTTTCTCGGTGAAGTGTACCAAGTGCATGATGATCATTGTTAGGTATGTAAATATCGTCGTTTTGTAACGAATAGTATATAGATTACATGAACTGTATAGATCACACCCTTCACAATAATTGCTATATTTCTATTAATTTCTCTACCGAAATATTTTATGTTATTTCATTAAATAATTACTACAATTCGTTACTTCTAATATTTTCATACTTATAACCTTATTTCCGATATCGGCAAATTCTACATATGAAAACAGATTAGTTACAATTAACTATTTATTATTTCGATTATTTTTAACAATTATTAGAATTTGTTGGATTTTATCTTTATGTTAATTGCATACAACGTGAAGTTTGTGCTACGTCGAAGTTTGCAGCACTTCGAGAATCGCAATTTGCAATGTTCGAGTACTTTCAACTTCAGTCAGTTACGAATCGCATCGCGATGATTGCAGAGTTGAATTCAATCCATATTTTTCGCGATTGTTATGTTTGAAAGTGAATTCCGCATACGAATAATGATCATGAACATGTTTCTCGTCTCAGGCCGCGCATTTGTTGCAATTTGTTAAATCTTCCGTAATTATTATTATTCGTCAATATCGATTTCAGCCATCTGCTTAATGTGTTCGAAGCCGTTCGAGAGCCATTTTACTTATTTTGGATTATATTCTCATCGAAATGTCTCAAAAGTTCGATGGATGCATCATTATTACCAGGTATGTAACTATCATTTTGTACAATAATTAGCTGCGTTGATATTGTTACTCCAGGCAGTAACAATATCGTATGATTTAATAGTCTCACGCTATCGAATGTAAATAGTAGTAGCAACATTTATGTACTTCAAAACTAAGATTAAAAGAAACAAGAAAAATATTGTATATTTAACGCTTTGTGTGTTATGGAATAACACTTGAATTTTCAACGAAAAACGGAACATACAATTAGACAACAACGAAATTAATCTATCATGACCTAAATGGAATCTCCTTTTCTTTGCATGAATAGGCAATTGCAACTTTCCTTATAAAATTCGGATTGTTGTAAATCTCTTCACTAGATTGCAATTGTCCATCATCAAATTATAGCAATGCTGTATACAAGTATTGTTATACATTTTATACGGAACGATATTATCATCGTCATCTTCATTGGAATTTCCATAAGTTCATACAACATAAAGTTTGTTTCACTTTTATTTTTCACAGAATTTTCGCGCAAATTATGATGCACTAATTCTGTCGTTATTTTGGTTATCTCGTTATCTTGGTTTCTCGTAGAATTTGTGTTAAGCTCGTATGGCATCGTTGAGTTGTCACACTGTTCGCCATTCGTAAAATTTTTCTAATACTCTTCGTTCTTTCCCGAGGATGGAATGACAAGCAGAAACACGCAGTATCAAAATGCAAAACTTAATCGATCGTTCATTGCCAAACCTTTGACGCGTCGAATTCATTAAAATCATTTAGTTTTTTCTTAGTCAAATACACTATAAAAATACATTAATAAATATAAAATATTTTTAACAATTTAAAACCTATTTTTCTGGTATTCAGTTTTCTAATAAGCATTCGCACATCTATTAAGTAGCTTTATCTTTCACTTTTCAAATCGCCACAGACTGAAGCCATTACAAAATTATTTTCACAGTTAGTATTTTTATTGAAAATTAATGAATATTTTTGATTAAGCTTAAATTCCGAGATGTATGTTTTTCTCAAAGTCTTATTTCATAAGTACAGTATTAAAAAATAAATTCTTCGTTATTATCACGTTGTCATGAATATTCATCGAAGATGAATCATTTGATTATCTGTTATTATCATAACCGGTTTGTTGTATTAGAATGTTCATTTATAGAAAAAAGAAAGAAAGAGAAACATTGCAGCTTCTTATATAATATAGGTTTGCATATCATACACAAGAGAATTAAATTTAATTGGTTCTTGCATTCTGTGTTACGGTTGATACAGTTATAGCTTGAATGATTTATGTTTAAGAAGTCTGAATAAAGAAATCTATAAACTCAAAATTATATTTATATATATTTTTATATATTTAAAATTGTTTATATAAAGAAATATTATTGTAAAGATTTTAACAAATATAAGAAATATAAATCATTCATGAAAAATATTTTAGAAATTTATTATAATACTGAATAAAGAACTTTTAATGCGTTCCTCAATTTAATCAATTTGCTTATGGATGATTTAATGAATCTTCAGCCAGCATGATCAGACTGGACATGTTTCACAGCCGGCTATTATCGGGAGACGAGATTGACATGATGTCTGAGCATCAACTCGAACAGTGCATCAATAACGTGAGCGTATTTTACCGCGTAACACCAAAACACAAGCTTTGCATCGTGAAGGCCTTGCAGAGAAACGGCAATATAGTCGGCATGACCGGCGACGGTGTGAACGACGGAGTCGCGTTGAAGAAGGCCGACATAGGCATCGCTATGGGCAAAAATGGCACCGATGTGTGCAAAGAAGCGGCCGACATGATTCTAGTCGATGACGATTTTGGCACCATTATGTAAGCATTTTATTTGCCAATAATGTGTTAGACTACGAATCACATGCGATTGTAAATCTTTTATCAATTGCATCACTTTTTTGCTTCAACGCGGCAATCGGGGAGGGAAAAGGAATCTTTCATAACATTCATAATTTTGTAAGATTTCAATTGAGTACAAGTATAGCCGCGCTCTCCTTGATCGCTCTCGCAACATTCATGAGTATACCGAATCCCTTGAACGCTATGCAAATACTGTGGATTAACATCATTATGGATGGTCCGCCTGCGCAGAGGTTAGATATTGCCAAATGAGATTCTCTTAATCTCATTAAATATTTATTAAACATCATTGACATTTATTTATGCAATCTCGGAGTGGAACCGGTAGACAAAGATGTATTAAAACAGAAGCCACGGAACACTAAAGAGCCAATGATCACACGTCATCTCATACTTAACGTTTTATTGTCAAGCGGGAGGTACCGAGCCGGGAAGATTTTCTGATAACGCGACGTAGAGAGAAGTCTTCTTCGCAAAGCACAATCGCCAGTTCGATTGATCAAACTCAAACACATCAATGCTACGTGATGTTTATCACGTCAGTACGCGCGACGTTCTAGATTCGCATCGAAACTCAAATCTAAATTTCTTCGTTCCCCTACCATTGTCCCGCGATCCTCTCTCGCGTGAAGTGGAAGTTCTTGCAGTAGAATTGCTTTGACCAGAATATATCGACCACCGACAACCTTGGAATTCTTTTTGAACGAATTTCTTAATTTGACGATAAAAAGTCTGCGGATTGCAAAAGTTCAAGATTCATGGAAAAAAGCCATATATCTTCGACCTGTCTTGCGCGGTCGCCATCATCAATGATGAAAGCGCATGTTTTATTATTATTCATTATTATTCTATAATAGCAAATATGCAATCGAAGATCAATTAAAATAGGACGATGAAAAACTAAAGTATGTAATGAATCCGATAGAAATCATTTATCGGGATTCGTCGGGAATCTAAGGGAAAAAAAATCATATTCTTAATTATTTCTGATCGTGCACACGTTGTTATCGTTAACAACGCGTCAGAAACATCGAGTGTTGTTAATGATGAATAAATAAAACTGATTTTAACTTTAAATATATTTAATTAAATTAAGTTTACACCGCGAGAGAGTTTGGTCGGCGATTCACCAGCGAAATGTTAATATCGCGTTCAAAAATTTCACTGTTGAAACTGTTATTTATTCAGTCTTCGATGTTTCAGTTTTCCACAGGCGTTCCCCATGGGCCTTTATATCCAATGCCCATTCCTAATTTCGCTATTGCGTACTCTCCGAAGCGTCCATTTTCCTGCTCGTACCGTATTCTTCTTAGCTTACCGACCTCTGGATCAAAGTCCCACTCCGTTTTCTACGCGAAGGATAAGATACCGATTAAAATTATTATTAAAATTATTATTAAAATAGTGTTACACATATGATCATGCACTTACCTTGTGCACGACGGGTTCACCTGCAAGGTACATCCTGATCCGTTGTAGAATGTGTACAAGCCTATAGATTGCAGGTTCTGCGGTTGATATCATTATTTCACTGTGAAGCAATAATGCTGTCAGCACGGTGATCTGGAACACAGAAGATAAAGAAATAGAATCAATTCTTGAAGAATATGAACGATCGTGATACTGAATCTGAGAAAAAGAAATCTAATAATAGCTATTATATTAGAAACTTCTCTTTTATTGGATTAAATGAAGAATGTTTCGAATCGTCATTTTCTGTCGCGGATAGATCGCGTTGAAAAATTAATTACTATTAATATTAATATTAGTAGTATTAATAGTATAATATAATTACTATATATAATATAATTACTATATATAGTATAATTAATTACTATTAATATTAATATTAGTAGTATTAATAGTATTAATATTAATACATAAATATTATACTTAAATAATTGACGAACACAGCGCGACTGAGTTAAATTATTTCAATTCTATCGCGACAAGTAATCTTTTCATTTATTATTAAGATGTTAAAGCCTTCGTTACTCGAGATTAATTTGACTCTTTGCATTTTTCATTCAGTAAACTCACCAATATCTGATTCCGCTTCATGGCAATCGTCGGCTCCGCGGGCAGGGATGATGATGTTCCATGCGGTATGACTACCCTATATGACGCTTATCTACAAATCCACTCGCTTATACGTGAGACTGTTCACGGACATTGCTCACTGTTGCAATCGGCAGTGAAAGTAAAAAACCCTGATTGCGCAAACTCGACAACGCGCAAAGTTCGAAAAATCGTGCTCAAACGGCTCATCCCGTGAATGACAATTGATTGTCCATCGTATCGATCGCGAAATGTCACATTGGGATCACGAATTTTTCGCGGGGCATGGAAATGGAGGAGGGGCATAAAAGTTAAAGCCGGCTCGGCCTTCCGGTCTTTCCGGTGGGTGATTTCGCAGTGAGCTTAATAAACCATGCGCATTGAAGTGCTTTTAACGATCATCTTTTGCGCGATAAGTGATACGGATTAATAGATCTCGAATGCGCAATACAAATTGCGCTACGAGGACTTTCACTCACTTGCAGACCTTCAATTTCATCCATAATGGGCGGTTATACTTTTACTTTTGTGTATTTCGCGTTAATGTGCGGATCTACGGATACACTAATATAGTTAACACTTCCGAATCTCGGCAAGGCCTTCGGTATGCGTTAACATACACTGTTTTTCGAATTGTTTACAACAGCATTGCATAAATACGACGTGATTTTACAAATATTTATCAATTGGTGAAACAATCCAATCTCCTTTTCCCAAAAACGAATACAAAATTAATTGTGCAAAAAATAGACACTGTCTTGTAACTTTTACATAATGTTTACAAAACAGATGTTTGCTGTTCTGGTAACCATTATGTCATTTCTAGATAATGTTTAGGTGGAAATGTCAGCAACATTACGCTATATATAACACGTAACAAATACTTGAAACTTAAAATGTAAAATTACGTAATTAAAACAGAACCTAGTACACTCTGTTCTGTAACATTTATAAATTATACACATATGTGTTCTGTAAAATTACGTAGCTATAACAGAGCCTAGTAAACACTTCCTTCTGTAAAAATTTGCATAACATTTACAAAACACAGACATGTGTGTTCTGTAAATGTTATGCAAATATTACAGAACAGTGTTTACTAAGTTTTGTTATAGTTATGTAATTTTATATTTTAAATTTTAGGTATTAGTTACGTATGTTCTGTAATATTTGTATAATATTTACAGAACAGATATTCACTGTGTTCTGTAAATGTTATATTAATGCTACAGATTACCATTACCTCACTTTTAAGTAGTGTTTAGGTTAATATGTCAGTAACATGCAAATAGCATTTGATTGTACCCCCGTTTTTCATCATGAACGAATTATTGATGCACACGATATTATGGAGGAGAAAGAACTTATACACTCAAAAAAATATTTCGCTGATGTAGTTAGATTTCTAGATATTGCAACAAGAATGTATCGCTATTTTTCGTATCTGTGAAAACATTGTTTGTCACATATAGAATTTATAGCAGTAATGTTCTAGCAATAGCTTCTGAAAAATTTAGGTACCATTGCTAAATGTTATTCATTGCATGATATAAATGAGTTTTAGCAGTACAACTAAATATTGCTCACTGCATAGTATAAATGAGTATAATACTGT